GGGGTGGGCAGCAGTCGGGGAGAGCGGGAGATGGCAGTGGAACAGGGGGAAAAAGAGGGGGTGGGATCGGAGTTGGGGGGTGAGTCGGGGTAGAGACAATGCGATCGGGTTGGGAATATCGGGATCGGAGCGACGGGATGGGAGGTGACGTGGCGGGGATTGAGGGGATCGGGAGGATGCGATGGGGGAGCAGAGCAGGACGGGTACATGCGTCGGGAGGAGGCGACTGATGGGAAAGAGGAAATGGAAGGGGGGGCGAAGGACAGAAGCACGCGGGTCGAATAGGAGTTAGAGGCGGAAGCGGGAGGAAAGGGAGGAGTGGAATCGGGGAGCAATGAGTGGGGAATTCATCGCAGGAGGGAAGCGGGTGGGGGCAAGGGGGGAAGTGGAATTGGGAGGGAGGGCGAAAGAGGTGGGATCCCGACACCCAGACGACACGTGTCAGGAAGAGTCGGGTAGATCAAACTCAAAGAGGAGGGGACTAAGATCGGGGAGAAGTGCGCTCGGGGACGCGCAATCGAGGTTGAGCAAGGGGAAGGGGGGAGGAGATTGGAGGCACACGGGGCGGGGTGGACACATGCACACGAGGGGAGGTGGGGATCGACTGTCCATGTGGCAATGATCCTTCCACAGGTCCACCTACTGAAACCTTGTTACAGCTTCTCCTTCCTTCAACTGATATGAACCTCTCACAGCCTCATTGCGACCCGCTGAAGTCGTCGCAATGCCAACACTTCACCCACCATTCAATCTATAGGAGTGATGGGCGAAGGACAAGCCAGGGCACACGTGGCAGCAGGTCGGCGTCGGCGGCCGGTAGGATGACCGCAGCATCCGGAGTAGCGTCATCGTGGAGGTTGTCGAGGAAAAAGGCGCCAGCTTGGATGAAGAACGTACCTGGTCACGTTGACGGACCACGTGCAGCTGCAAAAACGAGCTTGGAGATAGCTATCGGTGATCGTGGGATAGCGGGAGAGGGAGGGAAGGAGGGAGTAGAGGTTTGAAACCCGCTCTGATACCAATGTGACGAACATGCAGGAGGGCACGCGCGGAGATGGTGAGAGAGAGAGAGAGGAGATGGACACACACGAGAAGCAGCAGCTGAGTGAAGGTCCAGTCCGACTCAATGCACCAACAAACAACCCGAAGAATGGAATGAACGAACCTCCCAACCTGGGCTAGTGGCTCCCCAGAGTACTGCGGTGAGACCCACAGGCCAGCACAACCCCCCCAAAAGTTGTGGGGGGGAAATAAGAAGAAACCCTACAAAACAACAAAGGTCTGTCGCAGCCAGAAAATACACTCCAGACACTTCGGCTGGCACTAGGGGCACAGCATGGCCGCCTACTGCCTGACCGGAGAAAACTGTAGCAGGGAGCGGCAGCCAGCCCCTCAGCAGTGAAATTCCTTTCCATAGCTATCTAGATGCTTCGAATTGTGGGGTTGGTTCATTCAAAGCAATTGTATATGCACTATTATTATGCAGTGAAATTCCTTTCCATAGCTATCTAGATGCTTCGAATTGTATATGACATTGTGTCGTCACTGAATTTTACAAGCACCTCGACAAAAACTATCTCCATAACTTGTAATTCCCCTGCTGTACTGCTATCAATATAGTTATCTATATAATTATCAATATAGTTATCAATATAGTTATCAAGATAGTTTGAGTCTAGGTGCTTGTAATTTGAATAGCTAGACACCTAGCTATATATCTAAGATAGTTTCAAACTGTAGCTGTCAAGATAATTTCAATGATGTATAGTTATCAAGATAGTTGTGTGTCGAATATCCATATACAATTCTAGATAATTCCTTTCAATTGTGTTGTCGGTGAAACGCCTTTGAAAAAAATAGCTGTCTTTAGCTTCAGAAAACTAGTTACTGCAATGATTTCACTGCATAGACAATTCCTTTGAATAGCTGTCTAGATTCTGAGGAACTAATAGCGAACTATAGTTACTATACATCTTAGTTACCCCCAAGAGCTTGTAATTTCACTGAGTATATCATGCCTGCAAACAGGTCTCTGTCAGATCATGGTAATGATCGGGATGTCGGGACAGCAGTGCAGACGGTCTATGTCTGGATGTCTGGGTCTGGTGTCGGGTCCAGAGTGTCCGGATCCATCACCCCACCCCACCCCACCCCACCAAAAAAAATTCCGACTCTGAAAAAACGATATGTTGTGCAGCATTGCAATACAAAAATCTTTTGGCTGAGGACCATATCGACATTTGTAGCCAACTCCACGGGAAATAAAAAATAAAATAAAAAACGTTTTTTTTAACTAAAAGAAGTTTTTTTTTTTTTAAATCCCGGGGCACGGTCCCACTAGCACTTGGATTAGCCTTAGCTATATCCGGGAGACATGTGTTTTCTGTATTAAAGACACTTCAAGAAATAATTGGAAATAGGGAAAGTAAAATGAAATCAGGGAGTCTTTTTCTGTCTTCGGAGCACGGAGCAGTTTCAGCGGGTGGGCAGGCGCGCTAACACAGACACAGTGCCAATGACAACAAACACATGCGAGAGAGAGGGAGGAAGACTATACAGCATACTAAGTGTATCTGGACATGTCCTAGGTCCGATACATTCAAAATGTGAGCAATCCGAATCCTGCCCGCCTTAATCTCCTTGTTCAGTTGCTAGTGATCCTGCGGCTGAGCCTGACACGGAAATTTTATTGGAAATGTATGGGGCGGTTTTATGCGCCCGATACATTACAGTGCTGCACCAGCCTCTCTACACGTCTCTGATGCTGAACTTGTGGGATGGAAGGACGACGCTTCCCACTCTGACAGGCCAGCTACCCACTCATAATATTTTTGAAATTCATTATATATACGCCACTTTTCTGAATGGAACTCGTGACTTCCCTCTACCCGAAAGAAAATTGCTCTAGAAAGAAGACCCCTCTCCAATGCGTTTTCTTTTCTTTTTTTTATGCATGGCCAATGAGAGGGCGGTCCATTTTCATTCCAAAACATGAAAAACGGGATACGAACCAAACAATTGATGAAAAAAGCAGTGACGTCAGATCTGCGTGGAATGGACGGCCCTAACGGATCCGACTACTACATTGTCCTGATTTAATTCGGAAAACACATGTTGCACGGATATAGCAAAGGCTTATCCCGTTGCTAGTGGGACCGTGCCCCCGATGGTCTGGAGGAGTCCAGACACAGGTCCGACCGAACGTCTGGACTGGTCCGGTGTCCAGGTTCAGGGTAACGATGGTCAAATCATTCACAAAACGACAAAAGAAATTTAAAAAAAAAATTAAAAAAATCTCGAAGTGATTCAACTGAGTATACAATTTCTTTGAATAGCTATATAGTTTCTTTGAAACAGTACATCTCTAATTTACCACAAAAGTAACCAAAAAAAAAAAAAAAAAAAAAAGGTACTTGTAATTTTGCCGCATTACTCTGAATATATACTACCTTCAAACAGGTCTCTGCAAATTCATTCAGAAAATGACAAAAAACGAAACATCCCAAAGTCACTGTCATATAAATCATATCGGAGGTTTAAGCTTTAAACCATAATATATATATACATAATATATACATATATCATCACAAACAGAACTGCCCGGTAAACCGTAGGCAGAGAGAGAGAAGAGGACAACAAACGAGGGGCTGTGACAAACTGTTTATATATATATATACTGTACTTTTCTGTATTTTTCCCAAATTCCGATTTTTCAGAAAATCTCAAGAAATTCGGACCCCGAACCTCTGGCAAGGGCCCAGACTGTGCGTGACTCAGGGTCCGACGGAATCTGGAAGGTGGGAGCTGTCAGGACTAAATTCGAAGAATCGAAATATTGTACTTTTTCGACTTTTTGAAATTTCCTCCCCCCAAATTCCCATTTTTCAGAAAATATCAAGAAGTGCTGAAAAACTTCAAAAACAAATATATTGTGCAGCATTCCCATGCATTGGCATGCAACTTTTTTTTTTTTTTTTTACACAAACAACTTTTGGCTGAGGGTCAACCAAATTTGAGAAAACAGAATCAAAACGAGAGAGGAGGAAAAAACAAACAAACAAACCCAAGAAAAAAAACAGGTGCACCCTGTTACGGATCAGACCCGGATGTCTGGACCGTCTGGTATCCGGTGGTCTGTCTGCGCTATCCATGGTTGGCAGGGTTCTTGTTTTCGAAAAGGAAGGAAGCACCGAATAACAGTTGACAATCTCTCTCTCTCTCTCTCTCTCTCTCTCTCTCTCTCTCTCTCTCTCTCTCTCTCTCTCTCTCTCTCTCTCTCTCTCTCTCTCTCTCTC